AAATCCCATACAGAAACCCCAATATATTCATGCAGTAAGTCTGTGGTGCAGGATGTGGACCAGCAGAAATCTGATGCTTTATAAGAAGCCCTTACAGGCATGATTACAGAAAATTGTTTCATGTTTAATCTGTAAAAGTTACTACTTTTCTAGATGGATGAACTTCTGTTTATGCATTACTGATGTAATTCCTGGGTTTGTTCCATGTGAACAGTGTTTAATAAAAAGTTATATGCCACACATGCTGTCAACAGAGCGTACGTTGCATTTAACCTGGAATGTTTCTGTAATGGTAATAATTACATATATATATATATATATATATATATATATACACACAGTGTATATACTACCATTCAAAAGTTTGGGGTCAGTAAGATTTTTTTTTTAAAATAAGTCTCTTCTGCTCATCAAGGCTGCATTTATTTGATTAAAAATACAGTAAAAACACAAAAAACTTGGAAATGCACGCTTCAAACAGAACAGTCAATGAAGACGAAGAAGTGAATGATGTGTGCTTCCTGCGCCTATTTATACTATAGTCGTACCGGTAGTGACGTCATGGCTGTCGCCGGCCAACGAGTTGGTGTTTTTTCAATGTATGCTTCAGACACGGGTCACGACGAGGCGTTCCCCATAGCGACCCCTAGAGGACGCAGTTCGAAGTTCCCATGAAAGGGAACCAGCATTTAAAGGGTGAAAAAAGGCATTTTGGTAATTATGAATGATAAAAACAGACATTTTTGGTAATTATGATCAGGACTGATCTAATCTATTTAAGTGAAAGTGGAAAAAAAAATATTAATATTAATTTTTTTCCTTTTTAAGGTCCTTGTCCTCTAAACTTTTTTAAATTGATGCACAAGGGAAAGGAGTTTAATGACAACTATATTGAGAAGGTTTCACAGTGCAAACTTCTAACTCTAACTCTAATAAAAAACCCACAGCTGCTCCAATATAAAAAAAAATTATAATCCTCCTCATGCATGCGTGTCTTACCGTGCTCCAGTTGGTGCTGATCTCCCAGTGCGAGCAGACGCGCGGGTGGCAGGGCTGCGTGGCATTGGGGCGGGTGAGACTGGCGCAGCGCTGAGGGTGAACCATGGTTGAGCGATTCCCAAAACTCTGCCTGCACTGTATGTGACGCTGCTGCACACCCCAGCCACAGGAAACACTGCACTCGGACCACACGCCCATATCCCAGCTACACACACACACACACACACACACACACAGAGATACACACTATACAGCAACCCTAATACAGTATATTCATACAGAAAGTCTGTGGTGCAAGATGTGGAACAGCAGAAACCTGAGCATGATTTTAAGAGCCCTTACATATATATATATATATACACACAGTGTATATACTACCATTCAAAAGTTTGGGGTCAGTAAGATTTTTTTTTTAAAATAAGTCTCTTCTGCTCATCAAGGCTGCATTTATTTGATTAAAAATACAGTAAAAACACAAAAAATTTGAAATATTTTTAAAATTTAAAATAAGTGCTTTTGATTAGAATAAACAATAAAATGTAATTTATTCCTGTGATGCAAAGCTGAATTTTCAGCATTACTTTATTATTTTTCAGGATTCTTTGATAAATAGAAAGTTCAAAAGAACAGCATTTATTTGAAATAGAAACCTTTTGTAATGTTATAAATGTCTTTACTGTCACTTTTGATAATCATCCATGCTGAATAAAAGTGTTAATTTCTTTCAAAAAAAAAGAAAGAAAGAAATCTTACTGAACCTACATTTTTGAACAGTTTATGCACAAGCAGATTTACTCACAATGGTGGACAGGGATGAACGTTACACGGTTCCTCCTCCGGCGCAGGTTTGGTTGCGGAGTCACACCTCCTCTCGTGGACTTCCTCGTCTGTGTGTCGATTCACACACACAATCTCTCTGTACTGAGAGCCTGAATACACACAAACACATATGCACATCAAACAACAAGCAAACACACACATAATACATTTTTAGTGGTGAGTGGCGTAAAACTCGATGGCAAGGTCTTCTGGGTGATTGGTCCTTGGGTTTTTCTTCTTTTAAAGGAATAGTTCACCCAAGAATGAAAACATCTTAAAATGTGCTCACCCTCAGGCCACACAAGATGCAGATGAGTTTGTTTCTTCATCAGGTTTGGAGAAATGTGTGTTTGCAATGGATGCTCCGCAGTGAATGGGTGCCGTCAGAATGAGAGTCCAAACAGCTGATAAAAACATCACAATAATCCACAAGTCCATCAGTTAACGTCTTGAGAAGCCAAAAGAAACAAATCCATCATTAAGACATGTTTAACTTCAAACTGTTGCTAAAATATGTGTCCTCTGAATCAGGAGAGAAATCTGCACAGATCAAGCACCGTTTACAAGCCAAAACAGCTCTAAACAAATATGTGGAGGATTTTGATGTGAGAAACAACAGGAGATGGACTTTTTCACAGGAGGAAGCGTTAATATAATTTTATATATTATTAACAGTTTGAAGTTAAAAACGTCTTAATGCTGGATCTGTTTCAGCTTTTGTCTTCTCCAGATGTTAACTGATGGACTGGAGTGCTGTGGATTACTTGTGGATTATTGTGATGTTTTTATCAGCTGTTTGGACTCTCATTCTGACGGCACCCATTCACTGCAGAGGAGCAAGTGATGCAATGCTACATTTCTCCAAATCTCTTCCGATGAAGAATTAAATGTATCGACATCTTGAATGGCCTGAGGGTGAGCACATTTTATAAACATTTGGGGTGAACTAGCAATAGTAATAGCGTTGCTTGCCTAAGCAAACACCACTAACAAGAGTACACAACGTCAGTCTGCAGCTCTTTAAACACACCAGAAGGAGGCGGCAGAGTGCAAATTCACACTGGGCCAAATAGATGAATCAAAACCGGTAGTGAGCAGCTGAGAAACCCCTCAAAAACACACATAGCCCTACAGAGAAACTCCCGAACAGTTTGGCACATGCACGCCCTGTTCCACAGCGCTTGGCTTTCTTTATATGTCAGTAGGCAATGGGTTCATGTTCTCTGAGTGTTTCCAGCTCTCCTATTACAAATAAACACAGCATTAATCCACCACGTCCACTCTGGATCACAGGTTCAAAGAAGAGCCTCTCAAAGCAGTTATGTGTGCTGTCATCTGCTGTAAAAGTGTAGATCCATGCTGAGTAATATCGGTAAGATTTTTTCTCTTATGCTTACCAAGGCTGCATTTATTTGATCAAAAATACATTAAAAACAGTAATATTGTGAAATATTATTACAATTTAAAATAACTGTTTTCTATGTGAATCTATGTTGAAATGTAATTGATTCCTGTGATGCACAGCTGGATTTTCAGCATCATTACTCCAGTCTTCAGTGTCACATGATCCTTCATCATTCTAATACGCTCATTCTAAAATGTATTTCTATTCTCTGACCTTTTCCACAGGTAGCCGTGCATTCTGTCAGTGCGCCTCTTCGCCACACAAACACAGGCTGATTGTCCAATGGAAGGTCTGTTCTTGGAGGGATCCGAGCATTACGATTGGGTCCTAGGCCCTGTGGGCGGGGCCTCTCTGGTGGCCATCGATCAGATACAGAGGAAGATGAGGAGGAAGATGAGAAGGCAGAAGATGACAAAGGCGGAGGGGCAACAGGATTCTCGACTGCCACTGACACGCCACCTGAAACACAGAGAGAAGAGCTCAAAACCTAGTGTGCTGCCTATCTAGAACTAAACACTTAACAATTAGTCATGCAACAGTAAAACCTTGTGGGAAAAAATACACTTAAGCATGCTTGTAAAAAGAGTACTTAATACAGAAATAACGTACTTAAAAAATATGTTTTTGGGCACTTGCATGCTATTTGAAATAAAAAATGCATTATATTTTACATTTATATTAAATGCAATTAGCTTAACTTTAGACTGTTTTTCTTACTTAATTGGGACTTAATTACATATTTATTACTTCTATTGTCTTTGAAATATGTTTTACTGCTGAATGTACTGACAAGTATTTATGATAAACTAAAATAAAATGCCATTTATTTTGAAACGTGTATGTCTTAAATATAATTGTAATTAAACATCTGTAATGTACTTAAATGTGTTATGAAACACAGTCATCATAGTCTCTTTAAGTACACTCAAATGGACTTTTATTTAATTAATATTACTATATTATCTGCAAATATAGCTTTTAAAAAATATACTTTTAAGATCCGAAATACACTTACAATTAAGCACACTTCTTTTTCACAAGGGAAATTTGTAAATAAAAAATGTAACAAATTTTGTGCAAACATAAAAAAAATGTAGTGAAGGACAGTATTTGCTTTGCACCAGTGCATTTGAATTGTTGCATTGCTAACAGATGCTGTTGCTCATGTTTTCGGAAATCGTCATACTCTCATTAAAATTGTACTGCAAGTTACTGCATGTGTGAACATCCTTTAGAATATTCTGTTAGCTTAGCAACATGCAGCGTCAGACTTTGTTTAAATAAATTGCCACTGATGAGGTTCCCTTTCCTGGATGCTGCTTCAGAAGGTAACCTTGCAGTCTGTGTATGGAGTAGACAGTAAGGCCGTCTCACTAGGTTTTAATTCCTTGCTGAAAAGACCAGCTTAAACCAGCCTGTGGTGTGCTGTATTAGCTGGTTTAAGCTGATTTGGTTGGTCTCCTAGCCTGTTCCCAAGTTCCACCAAAAATCGTTTTTAGTAGGGTTGGCACAGAACTAAAGCCTGATTCATGCTTTTAGCTTCATGTCACACACTCTCACTGTGACCCCATTCTCATAAAAACTCTGTTAAACATCATCCT